TTTTAATTGTGACCTGAATTTAGTTTTTATATTAACTAACACTCATGCTGAAGATTAAGTAAAAAGTAGATCGACCTTTTCAAAACTTTTTATCAAATAAATCAGCCGATTTTCATGAACTGAAAAGCAATGTTATTGATACAAGGAAAGAACTTAAAAAAGTTAAATAAATGCAGACAATTTTTGTGTTACAGAATCAGACAGGAAAAGGTGTTTTCTCTGAATAATTAATTGATTCAATTCTCACCACACACAAAAGGCGAAGAGGTTGCTGCAATTTTGAATTTTAATGCAAATTTTACTAAATTTATGTAAATTTTCTATTTTGCCCATTCGGAATTTTTTTTTTCTATCAAAGCAAATCAGAAATCTGTAAGTACATAATTATACAATTATAAAATGTCTATAAAAATAACTTTCAGAATTTCGTCCTACTTAAAGCGATAAAGAAAAGGTTGATTTTTAAAGTATAAACCACTTATTATCCTCGTAAAAATGTAATTTTTTCTTTAAAAACAAATAATTATTGTTATTGTGCTAAAATGTTTTAATATAATCGTTGTTTTAAATTCGTATAATTGGAAACTACATTCACCAATTTTGATAAAATGCTTGGTTTTATCATGTAACGTAACGTTAATTAACATGTAAAATTTTAGAAGTTTTGAGAAGTTGGCTCAAATTTATGCAAGTTTTCTTTCGCATTAATTAATTTTTCGCCAAAAAATTTAAATATTTGTTTTGTTAAATGCTAATTCATCGAATTGAGATTTTTTTTACTCATTTTACAATGTGTGTAACATAATAAGATAAAAATTAAAAGGTGAATTCCCAATGAATTTAAGATTTATTTTAAGTGATAACGATTTAGGAAACATATTAAATATTTGTTATTATGGGTATTTTTTTTTCCTGGTAACTGATTCAGTTATTTTGGCACTCATAACCGTGAAGCATCGTTTTTGCAAAATGCCATATTCCCAGAAATTATCTTCAATTATTAACGGCATTCATAAATATCGTCCTATTTCACCTTGTTGTTTTGGGAATTCGAAACTTTCGTAGGTTATCAATTATCGTTATTGTTCATACGCTAAAATTCGAATTTCAAAACACCATTCCTGTCAAAATATTTATTATTCATGTGTCAATTTTATTTAAAAGTCATTTTATTTAAAAAATAATAGAGTAAACTTTGTGCAATGCAGATGAATAAAAGAAAATTACGCAAATAAAGCACTGCGTTATCATTTGTGCTGTATTCACGTATCTTTTTTTTAAATTAACATTTTGTTAAGTTATAAAATAAGATTTAATCCACATTGCACTAAACGAAAAACTAAATAAGGAACATGTTTAAAGTTGGAATAGCACGAGTTCGTTTTACTGACGTTAGTTACTGGCAATTTTTATCTTCATATGGTATAAATTTACAGGAAATCCCAGTTTTCAAAATTATAGTTCTGAATACAGCACAATTAATAAAAAATACAAAATTGGAAAGTAAATTTGACCGAATAAAGGGATTTTATTCCATGCTCTAAGATTTTAATAAAAACACCAAATTTTGCCACATTTACCTTATTTTACCACATATTATTGTTAATTACACTAATATCCTTATCAAAGCGATAAAAATTATTGAACTTTTTGTGTTTTTATAGAGCCAGAAACAAGGTATTCCCATAGTTTTGACCATTTTTTTTTCTCAGTGTCGAAGATAGTTTTAGATTGGAAAGTTGCATTACCATAAAAAATGCATTACTTACGGTAAGCTTATTTGATAAACTAAATTATTAAACCATGACAGAGTTCATCAACATTATTTTGATAACAGAACATCATTGGTTCTGATCTTTTTAAAAATAGTAATCCAGCAAACTGATTTACTTTAACGTAGATCCCAATATAATCGGAAAGCAATTTTTTAGAAATTGGTGTTTCTTTCTTTGAACGAGGAAGCAAGTTTTATGGTTTTAAATTAAACGTAATTATCAGCTTCTAATACAGCTAAATTTTCAGCAGTACTGCAAACGAACTGTCATAATAGCAGTGGAACATGTTAAATATCCTGCTATTAGAGATTTAATTATTATACACGTGTGAATTTTAACGTGAATGATAAAAATCAAGAGAATGTCGACTTTTACCAGTGAATGAAATATTTGTTATATCCGATTTAATACTAATTTATTCGTTGAAATTATTATATTTATTCGATACTTTAATATCTGCTACGGATAGATAGATTAGGAGGAAGCATCAGTGTTCGGAGTCCCGGTTAAATGCATACTGGGCACCTTAAAACGTTGATGTAAGGCATACCGGGCAAATGTATACCGGACAGTGGCACTCAACTGGACCTAGTATATGTTTCATGCATTTACCAAAGCGACTATGTGATTGTCAGCATTCACAGGTGGCAGTCAACAACCACCCATTTCGGCCAATCACAGTAACATATGTGCTAGTAGTACATTTTTTTTTTCAGTCAGCTCTTTTTGTGTGCAACATATGAAATGCTACATAGTTTACGTAAAGAAAAAAAATTATCGTAAAGCTAACTGAAATTAATTCATAAATCAGTAAGTAACACTAACGTCAAAATTTATACCTTCATTACGTCAAAAAATTTAAACGGATACTTTAGTTTTGAAATTAAAGAAAAATCATGAAATATGTTTAAAAAACAATTAAGAGGCAAAAAAATGATGAATAATTTCTCTTGGTAAATAATTTTAGAATATACATTAAATTTTACTAAAGTTGTTAAGGGTAATTAGTTAAAATTAGACGCTTTAGTACTAAACATGATACCTAAGATACCTAATTCCAACAATAATTTTTAATTTTTCATATCAACCTACATTGTTTTCATTTGTTTCCTGTTCAAATTTGCTTTGACTACTTCGTTGACATTAAAAATAGGCGTTCGGCGATGTTCTTTTTTTTTTCTTGAGTTATAAATTCGGCCAAATTAAAAAGTAAATGTCGAGAAAAATGCTATTGATAATTTTTAACGCTATTGAATTCATAAGCCTTTTAGTATATGATTTTAAAGCATTAAATCACTTTTAAGAAAAAGGCATTAAATTAGATTTTGAAAAAAGTAATTGATCTAAATTGGTCTAATTACTCATTAATGGGTCACAGATCTAATGCAATCCTTAATGGGCATACAAAATCTCACATACTTTTAAATGCGAAAATTTTTATTGCTTTAATCTACTTTTCCTTGCATAATTATACACTCAAAGGCAAAATAATTTTTTAATAAATTGTAAATAATTCCTTTATAATTCATACTTTGTCCCTGATAATAAAATTTTTGTAGATTTAGAATACACTCAAGGACATTTTAAACAAACTTTTCTATACTTTGTCCCTGATAATAAAATTTTTGTAGATTTAGAATACACTCAAAGACATTTTAAACAAACTTTTCAATGAACTAAAATTAATTTCCTTATCATATTTATTTGGTCTGTTACTTGATAATATAATTTTCGTGGGTTTAGAATACACTCAAAAACATTTCAAGCAAACTTTTCAATGAACTGTAATTAATTTCTTTATCATTTATATTTGGTCTGCTACCTGATAATATAATTTTCGTGGATTTAGAATACACTCAAAAAAATTTCAAACAAACTTTTCAATGAACTGTAATTAATTTCTTTATCATTTATATTTGGTCTGCTACCTGATAATATAATTTTCGTGGATTTAGAATACACTCAAAAAAATTTCAACTTAACTTTTCAATGAATTATTATTAATTTCATTATCATTTGTATTTGGTCTGTTACCTAATAATATAATTTTTACTGATTTAGACTACACCCTAGATATTTCTATCAACATTTTCATTGATATTACTTCCCTTATGATTTGATGAAGTCTGCTACTTGCTTTTTGCGTATTTAGAATACATGTTACTGTGAATGACCGAAATAGGCGGTTGTTGACTTCCGCCGGTGAATGTTGACAATCACATAGTCGCTTTGGTAAATGTCCGAATAACTGAATCATAATTCTGAGTCTAGTTAAGTGCCACTACCTGATAGGCATTTACCCGGTTTTCCCTAGATCAATATCGAATAAATCAATATATCAAATATCGAATACTCAAATATCGAATAAATATAATAATATGAACGAATAAATCAATATCCTATCGGATATAACAATTATTTCGGACATTCACCAAAGCGACAATGTGATTGTCGACATTCACAGGTGAAAGTCAACATTTTCTTGATTTCGGTCATTCACAGTAACATACGCACTTGATACATTTAAAATAAATTGCTCACTAAATTTACTTCATTCTTTGAAAGTTTTCCCCCCCCCCCATTCGTTTCTTTTTATAGCTGCTAACAGTATCGATTAACCAAGATTAGAAGCGCTTATTCGTTGCTGGATTGTTCTATTAACAGCAAAATTATTTAATGGGAATTTAATTAAAACGAGAAATAATGTAATCACGACGTCATTTTTCCGGATTTAGTATAGGCATTCAGCCATATTTCAAACAAATCTTTAAATGAATTATAACTAATTCCCTATCATTTGCATTTAAAATACTTATAATACGTTTTTCATTTTCGAGTACTAACAGTTTTTTTAAACCTAGATTAGAATGCTTAATCGTTGTAAGATCATTTTTTTAACATTAAAAGTAGAAATTAAATGAAAGCGTGAGTCATTAGCATCTGGTACGACAACCTTGAGCTTCCTGTTGATTCTTTATCCATTAGGCACGCCTAGTGATTACTCTGGTGTTATGTGCACTTGAAATTGATTCCTCTTTATGTGTGAAAGAATCTTTGTTAAACTTGTCAGCATTTTATGACACTTATCTGTCTCAATTCAAATAATTTCTATCATATTTTCATTATCTATTTGTACAGAATGCTTAAAATTTGCTCAATATTCATTATATTCGATATTTTTTTCTCTCGGGTGCTAAATTTAATGTTGTTTTTTGTACTTTAAATTAATTAAGTAATAATGTTTTAAAATTCATTTGCAATTTTTAGCAGCTTAAAACAAAGAGGCGCGTAAAAGCGCGTGATTATTGAGACTACCCAGAAAGCATGTAACCTTACGACAACCTTGTGTCAGGATTTTTATTTTATTGTCACGTAAAGGTTTGTACTAAAAACCTTTTTTCAATAAAGCAAAAATATTGCAGTATTAAACCTTTCGTCCTAAAAGGATTAAAAATTATTTTTTAAAGCCTTTTTTTAAAAAAGTATTGTGACTTAGGTAAAATGGTAACTTATGTCCACAATGACGTTTTAGCTAACGTTACACTAGCTATAGGATCAAATTGCATTGTCCATTAAAATTTCATGACAAAGGGGATTTTATAGTGGATTTTAAAGTGGATTTTATAGTGGAGCATGCAAGACGTTGCGAAAAGAAACCTTATAATTATCTAGATGACCTTACCGAGATCTAGAAACCTTATAATTATCTAGATTATTCTCACCTTGAGACTAGCTTTATGAAAGGAATTTTTTTCCCGCTTGTAAACCTTAAGTCAACCTCGATTTAAGGTTTTTATATAAAAGGCTGTTTTCAAATATTTTGGATTAGAGTAATGTGCGTTAGAATAGAGCAGATTGCCACAGGTCTCGTTTTAAATTTAGAAGGTTTACGCGTAAACCGCATAACAAACCTTTTTAGGTTTACATTAAAAGGTTTTGCTGAGAGAAAATAAGCCTTATTTTGCTATCTGGGTAACTCCTTAATTATATACACCTGAAAATAGATGCGTAATCACCTGAGAGAATTAAAAATTTTAATTCGAGAATTATTACAAATTGAGTCAACTAACATCGGAAAATTATATAATTATAAAAATTAAAATCCTTATTTTAAGTTTATTTAATCTACATATAAGCAGAATGCTATTCATTGTAGGAAATTTTATTATTTCCTACAAAATATTCTTAATACTTTTCTCAAAATAAATTTTTTTTTAAATTTTAATAAATAAAATCAATTTGACGTATTTTCGAGCCCTACAACTTATTTTTATATTCTTTTGGAAAAAATATAATTTTCTTCATAATATCATAACTAAGAAAAATGATAGTTATACATTTGAAGTTTTAATTTCTTCTAATTTTGGCTCGCTCCCTTGGCATCATGGCGACTTTGGCTTTTCTCTGTAAGCCACTGCTGGGAATGTTAGAATTGAATAATAACTTACAGGGAATAAAACAAAATTATTAGTCACAGTCTGCTCAAAACGTAAAGAAAGTTCTTAAGCCATTTTAAAAGCGGAAATATTAGTTTCGCATTAAAAGAGGACTGATAAAAAATAATGGCTAAGAAAAATTAGAAATGGGTGAAAATTTAATTCGAATCTTTGTGCGTAACAAAATTGCAACCATAGCTGGTTTATGGTGTGTGGCTCAATTACGCCTATGTGTTTAATAAAACTTGTTGATGAACTCACTTAGCCGTGCTAGAAAAATTACATGATACTTTTACACGCCCAATCATTTTTTCGCGTGCATAATTTCGAAAACACATTGATGTTCTTATTATCAATTTGTCGAATAATGACATAACAACAGTATACTTAACGATCACTTTCATTTCAAGCAATATTCATTATTATTATTAACTAAGTTTTGGGTATTATAAACGAACAAGTATTACGCACGAATAAGCATTTATGGAGTCGTTTTGCATGAATAAACATTGATGGATTTAATGGAGGGCATTATTATTATTAACGAAAAAGTATTATCTAACGAAGTGTTAAGTATTATGCATGCTCTTAACGTTTATGCATTGTTTGAGGAAGTCAGCTAATGTTCAACCGCAGTAAATGGATCGAAATTGGAAGGTTCTACTTCGTAACGCTTATTTGCATTGAATTCTCATTTTATAACATCAATGTCTTAGTTGATTACTGAATCAAAATCACTTATTGATCAATGTCTCTGCGACTTACTGCACTAATGTTGCTTATTACATTAATGTCTCAGTAGCTTAGCTCATCATCAATGTCGCTGATTGGCTTAATGTCCCTGGGCTTACTGCATCAATGTCGCTGATTGCATTTGTTCTTCAATGTCACTTATGTTATAATAAATTCTCGGTGGATAAGTTGCATTCGCGAAGTTCAAATTTAATTCATCACACTGACTCCTTTCTCACAGGTCCATTCTGATTGAATATTTACACGCCCTGTCGGGCATGTATTGGGTAAAGAAAATACGTGCTCGATCGTAATTTCAACATGTCCCGGGCATGTCCGGTAATGTTACTTTCGATCTCTGATTTATATAGAAAGAAAAGCAATATATGTCTAAAACAGTAGAGAATTTATATATTTTCATTCCATTGTGGCGTAGCTACCACTACAAATATTAAATACCAAATCACTAGTGTATAAGACATGTTAACTCAATTTTATCTTGAGGTACCTTTTGATAGATGAAGGTTGACATAGTCGATTTATAATTCCCCTCACCATCACTATATGAAGTTCCTTTAAGAAAACACTTTCTTTTTGTTAGTGCTGAAAAAGTGACCTAACACCTGAAATAATTGGAAAACTGGCGTAAGTGATTAGGCTCGAAAACAGTTTCTATAAAAAGTTCGAATATTACTTCGAATTTCAGTAGAAACTCTATTTCATTTCATAATGCTTTCAATTCAATGGGCTTTAAACTTTATCTTTAAGTTCCATTACTTGATTTCCGTAACTGCGCAACGTAATTCGTTTTCTGAATTTGACTCGATTGTTTTTTTACACATGAATGATATTTTTCACAGATTTATTGCGTTTACTATTAAACAACGATCATATTCTGAGAAAAATGGCTGTTATGCTTGACTGCTGCCACCTTTTAAAGTTGTAATTTAATTCTCCTTCAAATAAATTTAACGGAATCGTTTGATTTCATATTTTCAACAAAACGAATAATTATAGCTGGATCGGAAAATAACGAATTGCAACACTTGTAGCGCGCGATAAGTGAAGTTTTGATGTTTATTTAAATTAAATAAAAATTTTATCAAATGCAGTAATACAAAGAATAGAAAGGTAAACTTTTATTTATATAATATAAGATTTAAACTAATTTGTTGTTCTCTGTCAATGTTTTTCCAAAAGTTTCCAATTTGAATTCGTTAAACGTTTTCTTGTTTTCATATTAAGTGTTTTAAGAATATGTATAAGAATATGTTTAAGAGCATGTTAAGAATATGTTCAGATTATGCATTCAATCTGCAACAAATGCCATACTTTGTTTGGAGAATTATAATGTAGTCGCAGTGAATTTGCTTGATATAGTTTAATCACGCTAAAAATTTCTGCAGCAGAAACATTTTATAGTTTTTAGTAAATATACTATTTATTAATATAATAATAATAATAATAATAAGATATAATAGTATCAGAAATCCAAATAATAATATTAAGACTTATGAAACTAAATTAATACTTTGTTTGGAGAATTATAATGTAGTCGCAGCGAATTTGCTTGATATAGTTTAATCACGCTAAAAATTTCTGTAGCAGAAACATTTTATAGTTTTTAGTAAATATACTATTATTAATATAATAATAATAATAATAAGATATAATAGTATCAAAAATCCAAATAATAATATTAAGACTCATGAAACTAAATTAATTTTTCCGTGAAAAAAATTTATCCAGTTTATTGAGTTTTACTGGATTAATTTTTCCGGGGAAAAAATTAATCCAGTTTATTGAGTCTTACTATTAGAGAGAGAAGAAAATGTTTATAAATATATACACCTTTTTAATTCCTTTATTGTTTTGAATCCTTATTATTTAATCGTGAATGCGTGCAGCGCATTTCGAAAAACAATCACTACGAAATCTCGATGCATAAATTTAATTTTTGAAGTCGCCTTTTTCAGCCAGTTGTAGAAAAACCTCTCTTATATGTTTGCAGTAGTTGCATTCGAAAGCATTTCTCGTGCACGGCGTAAGTTGAAACGAGATGAAAACAAAATTCGGTTGTCTGCCAAAAAGGAGCTCTGAATTTTTATGTCCACAAAAAATATTCTTGTTTTTCCTCGCTTCTTTTTGATGTTTTTTTTTTATTATGAAAACAACAAAATTTCTTTTAAAACTGGTAAGATATTTTAACTTTTTTATATTTTTGACTAGATGCATAATTACTGAATTGAATAGTGTGTATAAGCAAATTTCGAATTCATTACTATGATTTATATCTGCATATAATTAAATAATAAATATGCATAAGCGTTTGTGAATTTGTCTTCGTGCCAATTAGAAAGCAAACGGTAGCATTTACAGCTACGAAATTTAATGTTGGTATATTTCGAACAATGTCTGTGCACCTCAAAGCCCGATTTTCGAATTTTTGATAGATATTTTTTAACTTTGAAATTTCCCCATGGGATTTATATAAGACCATTGTTACAGTTTAACTGCATATGATTTAAATGTTAATGTAAGTTTTAAATGTTAATTGATTTTTTTCTTTTATTTTTCAAATTTTTCCATGGGATTTAGTAAGTTCTTGTTACGCTGATTGTTTTTTTTTATTTATTTCTTATTATCTTTTTTTTTTATTTAAAAATTTATTTATATTATTTATATTAGACGATTGTTAACGTTTACTATTTAATTTTTATGTATATTATTATAACAGGTAAGTAATATATTAACTTCATTTATTTTTTAAAGCTTGGTGCGAAATATTCTGAGCTATTAGTTCTGATTCCTTCTATAAGCCTTATCATGTGTCGGAGTTAAAGTTCCTACCAATAGACAGATTTTGAAGGTTATTTTCAGTATTTAGCACTTAAAACAGTGCTATTGGAGTGAGGAAGAAATGGTTAGGTATCTTTGCTCTTTTTCTTGGTTTTCCTTCGTTTTCCCAGTTTTTTATTTACGTAGCATACAGAAGAAAAAAAATTCAATAGTTTGTTGCATAATTAGCAAGATGGGATTTTGGACATGTTAAGTTGTTTCTTTCATGGTGTGTTCAGTTGAAAATAAAACTGTTCATTGTTCAACTGTTCATAGTTCAACTGTTCATTGTTCAACTGTTCATTGTTCAACTGTTTATTGTTCAACCGTTCATTGTTCACCTGTTCATTGCTCAACTGTTCATTGTACAAC